AGATAATAATAGACTTACTCCTAGCTCTATCCTAACTAGCGCGCCTAGATTGCTATACTAAGTTCTATAGTCTTCTTACTTGCCTTATAAAGAAGACTATGCAGATAAGACTATAGTCTACCCCTAGGCCTAGCGCGCTTATAGCAATAAACACCTACTCTTGCCCTTTAGTAAGCTAGCGCAAAATTTTATATTTCTCCTCTACTATCCTAGCCTCGCAGTAGTAGCAGATAGCCTCTAACGTTGCTATATGCTCCTTAGCTCTTAGGATAGAGTCGCAGTATATAATAATCTAGCTAGAGAGGGGGTACTTTTCCTTCTTCTCCTGCACTAGCCGCGCTAGCACGTCTCCCTCTACCTCCTTCTCTCTATTATACTAGTGCACCTAATATGCAATATTAGGTTATATAGTTAGTATCTAAAACTATGCACACTACTCCTTAGGTAGTAGCGCTATTAAATAGATAAACTTACTCTCTTCTTTTAGCTTTAGCGTTGCTGTTAGATATATAAGCTATATTTCTGCCTTAATAAGGTTGCGCAGCTTTAGCACCTAGGTCTACTAGCCCTTAGTAGACTCTAGCGCTATATAATACTTATTAATAATAATATATTCTAGTCGTCCTATAGCACGCTGCTAGTTAATAAATGCCTTAAAAGATGCACTTACTACTAATTCTAGTACTACTAGCACTACTAAAGCCTACTTATGCAGCCGCTTACTATCCTACTTAATATAGTCGATCCTAGCTTTAATATAGCAGTCCTTTAGATTATTCTTTAGAGCTAGTATTAGCACTATAACTATAGTTATACTAGTCGAGGTTAGCGCTAGCAATATAAAGCTTAGGCTCTTACCTATACCTATACCTATAATTATAATAATAGGGCTCTCCTGCTATATAATAGCCTCGATAATAGATTTCTAGCAGCCCTAGAACTAGGCACTTTTACTCTATAGCTATTTAAGCGAGGCCTAGATATCTATGTTTCCTATCTGCTTCTAACGCTAGTACTCTTCTTCTATAGCCTCTTTCCTAGCTACTATAGTAGTTAAACCTTCTTTTAGTAGCATACTTAGCGTTAAATTAAACTAGAGAAACTTATGCTATATAATGCTAACCCTATAAAAGGCAAGCTACTATACCTAAACGCTAAATAGAGACTTATCTGCAGAGTAACTATATATCTATCTAGCTATTCTAGATCTATGCCTAGACTATAAGTTAAAAGGATTATCTTTAGCTTCCTAGTCCGCCTTATTATCTCTCTACTCTAGCGTTTTTAGGACGCGTTTGTCCTTAATATACTAACATATAATAGCCTTGCTATTATGCCTCTAGATCTAGATATTAATCTTTATTTTTAACTAGCGCAGAGATATGCGCTTAATTGCTCGCTAAATCTAGTTAGTCCCCTATTATTCTATCCTACTAGCTGCTCCTATAGGCATAGGCTTCTCCTCTAGGCCGGTTCTAGTTCTATCTTCCTCTATACTACTCTCCTCTCTACTATACTCTCTTATATTAGGTAGCTGCTAGAGTTATTATTTCTTCTTCTACTGCAGGCTAGTCTACTGCTCTTCCTTAATCGGCTCCTATAGGAAGGGACTAGGCTCTGCGTTAATAGCCCTTCTAGATGCGCGCTCTAGCTTCTACTAGAAGGGAAGCACTATCTATAGGTAGTAGAATAGTAGCTCGCCTACCTCCTCTAGCAGGTAGCAATAGATAACTTTAGCTGTTCTAGCATACTTAATTCCCTTATAGTATATAGTTACGTACACTATTAGCCCGTTCTTAACAAAGACGCCCTAGCTCTACCTGTTAGGCATTGTAGTAGTAGGAATATACACAGTCGAAGTGTAGTATATTATCTAACTCTCCCAACAGTCCATTAGGACCAGTCTTTTAAGCTACAAGTCTTTATCACGTGCATACGCCTTGCATCTAGTCCCAATAGAGCCTTAAGTCGCACTAAGTAGTCAACACTCCACCACACATCTCCCCACCCCATAGAGCTTGGCCCCATCAAGCTCATCTCATCCACCAACAAGCAGCTCAGTCGCAACCAACTCAACCCCTCTCAGCAGGATGCCTTAGCCCAATAGGATTCTGGGCCCACACATCTCCCCCAGCGTCAAGAACCATAACTACCTGTCGCATCCCGCGTAGTAAACCTCGCCCAACGCCCCAATAAGCCCTCAGCAGCTCATGTCAACCCAGGTCCCAATAGTTCCGTGACAACTCGTTTCGCCAGTTCACGTCATCATTCACACCTCCATTCACATCGTCCTCCAGCATCACAGCCCTCACGCCGGCTCAGTTTATGGACGCCGTCAACAGCCCACTTCGTGACATCAGTCCGCTTGCCTTGTCAATGCCCGCCTGTCACCGCCTGTTTTCATCACCAACAGCCGTTTGTCGCTTCATATGTGCGTTTGCTTCCGCCGGCATACGCGCAAAGCCCTTCGCGCCCCAATAGCTCATTAGCTAGGTGAGTAAAGGCGCTCTCAGGCAGCCACGCCGAGCAAACGCGCTGACTTCACTGCCAGATTCCAGAGCCTGCGCGCGACTTCTCTTACCACCTGATATCGCCGACCTTCAGGTGCATATAAGCTAGCTCAGGCGCCTCTCTACTGCCTTCCAACTCCAGCCTTCCATTGAGCCTTTCAATCAGCACTTCCCAATTCTTTAATCAGCACTTCTCAATTCTTCATGTCTTGGACTAGATTCAACAACCCTCCCCACCGCAGCAGTGGTAGTGGCGGCGACAAGAAGCCTTCTAGAGGTCGCGGCGGGCTAGGAAGCGCCAATGTCAGTCCATCCAAGCCGCGCCCAAAGACTCCTTAGGTCCTTGTCCAGGAAGCCAGTACGTTCATGCTCCCTTTGCCAGGCCCAATGGGCCGCTAACTTCTCCAGTGTTGCCGTTCCTCAACCGCCGCCTGGACCAGCGCTTGGCCCATAATATCAGCAACGCTCTTGCCTTCCTTTTCGACCACGCATACATCCAACTACCGCCATTTCTTCAACAAATTGCAGAGGCTCATAACGCTGTCGGCTCAAGCCACCCACCAACTGCAGCCAACCCTCAGCCATTCTACATCCTGCCAACCAACGATTCCTAGCCTCACAATGTAACTCTCTTCCAGTTCTTCTACAAGATACCTCGAAAGGGGGAGCCAGTTGATCCGCGCACCCTCACACAGTTAGCTGACATGCAGGCTTTCCATCAACATGCCATTGAGCACGGCCGAAGGGAGGGCTATTCCATTGGTCCCTATAGCCCATTGCTGACCAGTTTCTTGCTGGCGTTCACCATAGGGGCCGTCCGGTACACCGTTTCCAACAATGAGGACGATCCCGCCTCCAAGTGCAATCGTTGCATCCGCACCAGAGATCCTTGTGCTCAAGTTGCTGATCCTGTGAAAGGCGAGGTCTTCCTGCTAGGCGCCTGTACTTCGTGCTAGGGGGCATCTTAGAGGAATTGTTCGTTTGGTAGGCCCCAATGGCTCCTTGGGTTCTTACTTTCCGCTAACTGCAGGCAGCTCGGGCTCGGCAGGCTGCCAATGAATTGCCTCCCCCTCCTTCTAAGGTTAATCAATTCGACAAAGGCCGCCGCGAGGCCCGCGAAGTTATTAGCGAGACTGCTCCTTCCTATCCTGATTCGCATTTTGGAGCCAGCCGCCGGGCTGCTCAGGATACCTTGAGTGAGGAGCTGGCTGGGTTGGACATAGATAAGAAAGAGCAGGATCGCGCGCGCAAGATTGCCTCTGCCCGCGATATTGGTCACCTCGCTCGACCTCGCAAAGGCACCACCTTCTATGAGCGCGTCCAGGCTGCCATGAATCCCGCTCCAAATTCTCCTCAGCCGGCCCCAATGAGTCCTACGGGTTCCATTGCTAGAAGGACCAATGACGAGTTAGCTATCCGTTTTCTAGCTGATCAGACTGGGAGGACTATGTCACCCAAGCCAATAGATCTTAACGATTTCGTCCAGCTATTATCCGCACCTAGGTCTCCTGTTCGTGGTTCTTCCGGTCCTGGCTCGCCTGCACCTGGCTCTCCTAGCTCCAATGGAGGGTTAGGCATGTTCTCTCGCTGCACCAGCTTCTTGCCAGCTACCCAAAGGGTTTCAAGACGCAGTCCCAGTTCTCTTGTTTCACAGGAGGATCGTGAAGTTTTCACGGACGCAATGGAGTACATGACCAGCCCTGTCCAGACTCCTCGTCAGTCTCCGCGTTCAGTCCCTCTGCAATCTCCTCGGACTCCTCAGCAGTCTCCCATGCAGCCGGCTCAGCGATCTCCTTAGACTCCTCAGATGTCGCCTTTGTTGTTGGCCCAGAGATCTCCTTCGCCATCTCCAACCTCGTCGCCTGTGCTTCGTACTCAGGCCTTGTCACTGCTTCATTCTCCTGCGCGGTCTTCTCCTCTAGTCCCAATAGAGAATCAGGTGCCTTCAGCTTCGCTTGATGCTGCGGTGTCTCAGGCCATGGCTCAACACAACCTTCCTCAGCAGTTCTCTGGTCGCAGAGGTCCATTGGGGGGTGGTGCTGCTCGCGGTAGTCAGCCAGGTTCTCCAGGTCGTGGTCAGCAAGGTCCGCCTGCTCAGCAAGGTCGCGGTCAGCAAGGTCCGTCTGATGATTCTTGGAGGCCCAGCAGGCATCACTGGTATGGTCCGGGTGACGCTCCTCGTCGCGGTGGCAAGCGGGGTGGTGGAGGAGGTTCGGCTGCTTAACTGTTTCGGTTTTCTGGCTTTATAGTTTCTAGGTTAGTCTGCTAGTTCTTTCTTGCGATTTCAGGCTTCAATAATTCATTGGCTGCTACTGTAGTTTCCAGGGTTCTAGGTTAATTTGCTGGTTTCTTCTTGCGATTCCAGTTTCCAATGGTTCTTTGGCTCAGTTTTCTCATCTTTCAATCTCAAATCTTGGCTTTTTGAAATAAGATTTTTCTATTAACCTATCCCCTCCCCTACTTAAAAGACTTAACTAACCCTTAGTTAAGATCCATCTGCCTATCCTTATTAAAGCCACCCTAGTACTTATACTTCTCCTTCTCTTCCTTAGACAGTTTGTGCGGGATCTAAACCTCAACTATCTTCTTAGCTAACTTCTGCCTAGTTTTCCAAGGTCTGCTTAGTATTAGTATGTCCAACTGTCTATTAGGTGCTCCAGGCAGCTCCTCCTGTCCGCCTATATCTAGCCTAGTAACTACGTTCAATAGCACTAACTCTTGCTAGTAGAATTTTATAACTCTATTGCCTGCATATGTTGCGCGCAATAGCATCCTATTAAGCTCTTTAATTAGGTACGTGCCCTTATTAGAGATTCTCTAAATCCTAAAGGGCCCCTTCTACTATAGTTATAATTTATAGTCTCTGCCTATATAGATATTATTAAGGACGTCTTAGATTAGCACAAGATCCCTAGGTTCTATTAGGGCTGGCCTTAGTATTGCTTGTGCATTAAACTATTCCTTCCCTACGTCTCTTAGCTAAGTAACTCTATTAACTGCTTTATAAAGTCGATTGTCCCTATATTTAAATTATTTTACCCTTATTACTAGCAATATTACTATATCTATTACTAAGTCCTAAGGGAGCGTTTGCTATATAGGGACGTGCAACTTAATAAGTAGTATATATTCTCTTCCGCACATAAGATATATTAGCGTCTCTCCTATTAATTGCTTTATAGTTACCCTGTTAGCCTATAGAGCTAGGTGCAGGTTTAAAACCTAATTTCTAGTTATCTTTTAGAGTACTAACACTAGTTTCTTATGCCCTCTCTTAATAAGTCCTTAGGCCTAGGGATAAAATATACTAGCTACTACCCTATTAATCCTATATAAGGCAGCTAAGTCCTTAACTATGCCTTTGTTTTCTAGCCCT